CACGTGAAGGGGGTATAACACTGGTCAGGAGAAAAGAAAAAGTGTATTTTGTTTAGTTTTGTTGCATTTTGTGTAAGGATTGTGGGGAGAAAACATTGCTGCAAGACAATATCATGCAAGGAAAGCCGTGTTTGTCATTACTAAACATAACATACAAATATTTATAGGACAAAGCTATGCCAAATCAAGGGGTCCATGGCAGTGGGGCCCCGGAATCCTCCTGTATTCACTTGTATTGTGCCTGTACTGTTCTCCCTCAGTTATAAAGCGCTGTGTAAACAGGGGTGGACTGACCATTTGGAAACTCGGGCACTGCCCGAGGGCCCGAGGTCAGTAGGGGGCCCCATGAGATGCCCCTGGTACCTTTTTCATAGGCTTTTTTGACTTTGGGCAAGGACACAGGGGCCCCATGATCCCCTTTTGCCCGGGGGCCCCATGAGTTGTCAGTCCGCCCATGTGTGTAAACCATATACATCCTGTACAATAATAATGGCAGAAATGTACAACTTGTACCAGAGGGGGTGACCAGGTGGGAGGGGAAGTGTGACCCTAGAGGGACTCAGACATGACTGTATCTATGTACTCCTGTACAGTACCAGCACACAGGACATTGTCCCATTCAAACGTATGTTGTGGCACAGTCGTCCCGCTCTTCTATAAGTCGCCGTCCAGCCAGCCACGCCCCCCAGCACACACATTGAGCAGCCAGCCACGCCCCCCCCACACACACATTGAGCAGCCAGCCACGCCCCCCAACACACACACTGTGTATACATTCCTCATGGAATGAACTTCCGGATCATGTGAGTGTCCGTGTGGCTCCGCCCCCTGAGTGTGCTGTATGCAATGTAGAGGGAGGGTGGCAGGTGGTGTGTAACCTTGTGCTGGCATTGTATAGAGAGGAGAGGAAGGTGCTCAGCCACACTGACAGCTCTGATCAGGGGATATGCAGCTCTGCTGTCACACCTCTTCCACACAACATCACTGCTGTAAGTATGATCCATGTTACACATCTCCAGGTAGAAGCAGAGGCAGCCTGTGTGTTCTGTTCAGACAGCTGCAGTGTGGAGGATCCATAGAGATCTCCCTGTACTGGGATTTCCTTCCCTTGTCCGAGGGGTTCTGCAGGGAAATAGTCCCTCTATGGACAGCTCTGTCTATGGAAGGGGGAGGGGGGTCAGATCCTAAAATTATGACCTTTCCTTTGGAGGATGAGAGATGAATGCTTTCTGTACACAATGTGAAGGAGTCCAGGACCAGAACATCATTTAGGTTGGGAAGCAGCTCAGGCATTTGTAATGTGTATATCTTAAATACTTTTTTTATAGAGGAAAGAATCTGACATTCAGTATACACTCACCGGCCTCTTTATTAGGTCCACCTTGCTAGTGCCGAGAAAATCTTACCCACGCCATGACACCACCACCAGCTTCAACCATTGATACAAGGCAGGATGGATCCATGCTTTCATGTTGTTTACACCAAATTCTGACCCTACCTTTGGAATATTGCAGCAACCAGTCTGCCCATTCTCCTCTGGCATTAACATGGCATTTTTGTCCACACAACTGCCACTCACTAGATATTTTCTCTTTTTCAGACCATTCTCTGTAAACCCTAGAGATGGTTGTGTGTCAAAATCCCAGTAGATCAAAAAGTTTTGAAATAGACCAGCCCATCTGGCACCAACAACTATGCCACATTCAAAGTCACTTAAATCCCCTTTCTTCCTCATTCTGATGCTCAGTTTGAACTTCAGCAAGTTGCCTTCACCATGTCTAGATGCCTAAATGCATTGAGTTGCTGCCATGTGATTGGCTGATTAGCAATTTGTGTTACCAAGCAATTGAACAAGTGAACCTAATAAAGTGGCCAGTGAATGTATTTGTAGTTGAATTCCAGCTTTGGTGTGAAAACGCATGCAGTTTATGTGTTGATGTATATTTTTCTTTGTGTCCCTGCATGTGCGTTTTAAATGTTTGAAAACCTCTGTCTGTAGGTTCTCTGGTATATTGTGTTAGAAGTGACACTACATTCTGATTTAAAAATAAAAAAGATCTATTCCAGTATGTATTCTTAACACAAAAATTCCTTTCTATTGCTCTCAGCCACCTCCAAGTCCCCAAATTCCATTTTTGTTGCCGCTGTGATCTGACTTGCTGTTAGAGGGTGGCTGTGTTCCTTCTTCATGGTCCCACTGTATCGAGGTACATAGCCACCATCTCTTGCTCGCTCCCAAGATGGACATTGGGATGGGTAGTGTACATAGAGCATAAACAGAACTAATGTGCACTGCTTCTTCCAAACAAACAGAAGGGAGAAGGAAAAGGAGAGGTTTGGGATGTGAAAAGGAGGCAGAAAAACAGTAAGAAGCAAATGCATGAAAAGTTGACAGGGCAGTTTTAAAAAAAAAAAAAAAATTTGATAGAATAAGGGAAGTTTACAACCCATGTCAATTTTGTTTTTGCCATCTGTGTCCCACTGTAGGTATTTCTCCTCACTTCCTGTCCCATAGCTAAAACAGGAAGTGAGAGAAAATCCCTCTAAAGTGAGGAAATCACTGGTAGTCGCCAGAACTAGTGTCACCATTGAAAGATTTCCTCTTTGCTCTTAGCCTCCTCCAAGTCCCCCAATTCTGTGTTTGTTTTACCACTGTGATCTGACTTCCTATTAGAGGGGCTTGCATCATAATCACACCCCCGTTCATGCAAACCGCTGCGGGTGTGTATTTTAAGTTAACAACAACCCGAAATCGGTTCTCAAAACGTGGTGCGATGTGCAGCATCCAATCGCATTGGTGTGAATACTCATGAGATCTGATTCTACTGCAGATGAAAAAAAGGGTCCTGCACCTTTTTGATGCGGTGCAATTTGAGCCATACAAAATGTGCACCGCACAGGATTTGCATGTGATTTGCACAGGAATGCGGTGCGGTTCCTGTGCAATTCACATGCGATATGCCGCACTGCAGAACGCAGTCTCAGGGACTTTTTTAAATGCAAAACGTTGCGTTTTTGGTTCTATAGACTTCAATGGAGACGCTGCAGAAAATCATGTAGTTCGTTTTTGATGTGTTTTATTCTGCCCAGCAACAAGTTGGGGAAAAAAAGCAGCCAAATTGCATGTGCAAATACGCATTGCAAAAAGCACTGCAGAAACGGATCAAATGCAAACTGCATAGGTGTGCTTTCGAAAACGGGAAATTTTTCGTGTTTTGTAATCCAGTGGTGCCAGCATTGATTTCAAATTTCAACCAACCAAGCCTTTAATTTCAGCTCTTGTTGCTACAGAAAAGATTTTTCGTGGCCAAGACTTTTCACAGCTCTTGCTAATTTCTTTCTCAGTTACAATTCTCACACGATTATCCCATCATTTATTCGAAATTTGTTTTTCCAAAAATTTCCAATCACTAAATTTGATGATCGCTCGAAAATTGGCCGTTGCTGTGGCTCACTAATGGTGCGAAATACAAATGAAAATTCTTAGAAAGGATTTTTGGAATTCGACCCATGTATGGCCGGCTTAATGCTCTACAAATCGCTGACAGGCTCTGCACCTATCCACGTGAGTGATTGCTCCAGGAGTGATTACATTTGGCTAGAAACAGGTGAGTACTCTGTAAGCTGACTTGTTTTCGTCTCAGGACGCTGATCTGTCCCGACCTGCAGGCAGTCACTCCATGTGCAATTACATGCAGACAGCTGTCAGTCCGTCAGTGATTTGTACAGATCATGATCTAACTGGGAACATCAGCCCATACCCGCTGCAGGAGTATGCTGATATAGGCAGTGTACAACCTTGTGAATGAACCCTAAAGCAGACCTTTACCAGTCCTCCTTATTAAAGCTGAACTCCAGGCTGGAGAAAAATTCCCCCTTGTTGTGGGGTCTCTTTCATGCTGCAAGAGGTGAAGCTGAACCTAGATATTACCTTGTAAAAGTAGCAGTGACATCATTTTAGTGCTGTACAAAGCCTGTGCAGACAGCTGTGGGAGGGACCCAGCTGGCTCCACCCTCTACAGGCTGCATGCAGAAAACTCCAGGAAGGGGGCGGAGACAAGACCAGTCACTCTGCACAAGGAGAGAGAGCAGCACTGACTGGTCTTTATTACAGAAGGCTCCTGTATAGAGGCAAAGTTGTGTTATGCTGTATTATTACACTGGTCTGAAAAAAATACACAAAGGGCAAATTATGGCCCCTTTCACACAGGGGATCCGATCAGGTCCACTCGACGGTTTTTTCAGGTGGACCTATTCAGATGGTCCATGTATCCCTATGGATACTTGTGTGTGTTTACATCTGCCTGCCTCCAATTCGGTCCACTAAAAAGAAACGGAAGGATATAAGTCCTCCTCTGTCTGGCTCAGAGGGCAGTCGGGTGTAAAGGGACTCCACTGTCCTCCCATTGACAATAATAGGGCACGATTCCCCCCCCCCCCCCCCCCCTGACATCAACAGTGAGCCACTATTTCCCCCCACTACTACCAACAATAGGGACTACTCCTCCCCCTAATACCAATGATGGGGCTCTATTCCTCCTCCTACTGACCATAGATGGTATGTATTTTCATTATTCCCACTGGCCACCAAGCCTGAGGATTTGTTTACTCTCACTGATTAGGGGGCATTTTTTACTCCCATAGGCCAGAGTCCAGCCCCCCTAAAGTCTGAAGAACAGTAAACTGGCCCTTTATTAGAAAGTTTGGAGACCCCTGTATTAATGAATATATTGTATAGTTGTATTGATGTGTGTCTTTTTACCTGTTTAGGGCTCATGCACATTGGGCTTTAAAAAAGCTGCTTTTTAGGGCAATTGGGTTTTTTTTTTTTTTTCTGCCTTTAACCACTTCTCTACAGGGCACTTATACCCACATCCTGCCCAGGCAAATTTTCAGCTTTCAGTGCTGTCGCACTTTGACAATTGCGCGGTAATGCAACATTGTACTCATATGACATTTTTATCATTTTTTTGAGACAGAGCTTTCTTTTGGTGGTATTTAATCACCTCTGGGTTTTTTATTTTTTGCTAAACAAACCAAAAACAACTGAAAATTTAGAAAAAAAAAGTTTTTTCTTAGTTTCTGTTATAAAAGTTTGTAAATAAGTGATTTTTCTCCTTCACTGATGTGCGCTAATGAGGCTGCAGTGATGGGCACTGATAGGCGGCACTGGTAGGTGGCACTGATGGGCATTGACAGGCTTCAATAATGGGCACTGAAAGGCAGCACTCATATATTTGCACTGTTAGGCGGCACTAATTGGCAGCACTGAAAGGCATCTCAGATGGGCACTGATCTTGCATTGATGGGCACTTGCAGGTGGCACTGACAGACGGCACAGATGGGGCTACACTGATCATCAGTGCCCTGATGATCAGTGTACATGTCCCCTCTGAGTAATGCTGATTACCGGCTCTCCTCTCCTCACAAGCTGTCAGCCGACATTTCCTTATTTACATGCGATCAGCTGTAATTGGACACAGCTGATCACATGACAGAGCCAACGTCATCGGCTCTTTCCATTGACCGGTGATCCAGGGACACAGAGCACTACCGATCACCACGCTGTGCGCCCCCCGGGGGTGCGCACGCGTGGTTAGAGTGGGAGGATGTCATATGATGTCCTCCCAGATCGAGAGAACCACCTTGCGCCCATCATTTCTTTATATGGCGGGCTGGAGGCAGTTAAACACCCCTCTATGCTAACTTATTTGTCCATGTACACATAGGCATCCACAGACTTTTAGAGGCAGAAAAAACGCATCACTTACGCATTCAGGAGAGGAGCGTTTGGGTGGAAGAAAACATCTGATGTGCCTAAACACATGTAAACCCCCCTAAAGGCATATATATATATATATATATATATATATGTGTATGTATATATATAAGTGTTAATACAGCATCCAACTCAGAATGCTGGCTGAGCCCTATAAACCACAACATGGTAAACCTGAGCAATACTGTATACTAACTGATTAAAGCCCGGTTGTGGTTTTCCCATACATTTTAGAAAGTAAATCAGGTTGGAACAAAAAGAAAAGTGCTAATTGTCTGTCTTATTGTTTGTTTTTAATGTTGCACTTGGCCCCAGCAGAAAACTCCCATGGCTGGCAGGTATAGTTGGCACAGCGAGCAGCATCTGTACAGGTCTGATACACCCTCCACCTTGTCATTACTACTGCGGTGCGGGGAGTGGGAGCTCCGATAATTGTAGCACTGTGGTGGTGATAAGGCACAGAGAATGCGTAAGTAGTACAGAGACTACTTTCCTTAGGTACATGCTCCTGCTGGCCATGGGTGTCTTTTGCTGGGGACATAAAGTATCTCACAGAAGTGAGTACACCCCTCACATTTTTGTAAATATTTTATTCTATCTTTTTTTGTGACAACACTGAAGAAATTACACTTTGATACAATGTGACGTAGTGAGTGTACATCTTGTATAAGAGTGTAAGTTTGCTGTCCCCTCAAAATAACTCAACACACAGCCATTAATGTCTAAACCACTGGGAACAATACTGAGTACACGCCTAAGTGACAATATCCAAATTAGGCACAAAGTGTCAATATTTTGTGTGGTCACCATTATTTTCCAGCACTGCCTTAACCCTCTTGGGCATGGAGTTCACCAGAGCTTCACAGGTTGCCACTTGAGTCCTCTTCCACTCCTCCATGACGACATCACGGAGCTGGTGGATGTTAGAGACCTTGCACTCCTCCACCTTCCGTTTGAGGATGCCCCACAGATGCTCAATAGGGTTTAGGTCTGGAGACATGCTTGACCAGTTCATCACCTTTACCCTCAGCTTCTTTAGCAAGGCAGTGGTCGTCTTGGAGCTGTGTATGGGGTCGTTATCATGTTGGAATACTGCCCTGCGGCCCAGTCTCCGAAGGGAGGGGATCATGCTCTGCTTCAGTATGTCGCAGTACATGTTGACATTCATGGTTCCCTCAATGAACTGTAGCTCCCCAGTGCCTACAGCACTCATGCAGCCCCAGACCATGACACTCCCACCACCATGCTTGACTGTAGGCAAGACACACTGTCTTTGTACTCCTCACCTGGTTGCTGCCACACACGCTTGACACCATCTGAACCAAATAAATTTATCTTGGTCTCATCAGACAACAGGACATGGTAATCCATGTCCTTAGTCTGCTTGTGTTCAGCAAACTGTTTGCGGGCTTTCTTGTGCATCATCTTTAGAAGAGGCTTCCTTCTGGGACGACAGCCATGCAGACCAATTTGATGCAGTGTGTGGTGTATGGTGTGAGCACTGACAGGCTGACCTCCCCACCCCTTTAACCTCTGCAGCAATGCTGGCAGCACACATACGTCTATTTCCCAAAGACAGCCTCTGGATATAACGCTGAGCACATGCACTCAACTTCTTTGGTCGACCATGGTTAGGCCTGTTCTGAGTGGAACCTATCCTGTTAAACCACTGTATGGTTTTGGCCACCGTGCCGCAGCGCAGTTTCAGGGTCCAAGGCCATCTTTATGTAGAGCAACAATTCTTTTTTTCAGATCCTCAGAGTTCTTTGCCATGAGGTGCTATGTTGAACTTCCAGTGACCAGTATGAGAGAGTGAGAGCGATAACACCAAATGTAACACACCTGCTCCCCATTCACACCTGAGACCTTGTAACACTAACGAGTCACATGACACCGGGGAGGGAAAATGGCTAATTGGGCCCAATTTGGATATTGTCACTTAGGGGTGTACTCACTTTTGTTGCCAGCGGTTAAGACATTAATGGCTGTGTGTTGAGTTATTTTGAGCAAATTTACATGTTATACAAGCTGTACACTTACTAAGTCACATTGTAGCAAAGTGTCATTTCTTCAGTGTTATCACATGAAAAGATATAAGAAAATATTTACAAAAATGTGAGGGGTGTACTCACTTCTGTGAGATACTTTATATCCCCAGCAAAAGACACCCATGGCCAGCAGGAGTACATACCTAAGGAAAGTAGTCTCTGTACAGGTATGGAGCTCTCTGTGCCTTATCACCACCACAGTGCTACAATTATCGAAGCTCCCACTCCCCGCACAGCAGTAGTAATGACAAGGCGGAGGGTGTATCAGACCTGTACAGATGCTGCTCGCTTAGCAAAGTGTCATTTCTTCAGTGTTATCACATGAAAAGATATAAGAAAATATTTACAAAAATGTGAGGGGTGTACTCACTTCTGTGAGATACTGTGCATAAGAGTACAGTTTAGATGTTTCATGTCATGTCTTCACTAGACAGCAAGCAGATCTATCCATCTCATTAGCTTATGGCTGGCATGCCCAAACCTCCCTTTCAGGATGCTGGGGAGGCACGCTTAGGCCATGTTCATATGTTTGAGTTGAAGCACGGGCATTATAAAGCCAAACAACACGTGCCTTAAAAAACAAAGTCATTAAACAAGGCTGTTCAGATCTCTGTGGTGCCTTATGCTGCAGTTTGAAAAATGAGCCGTGCCTGTTTTTCTGTGTATTTTCACGTGCTGTGATTCCCAATAGAATAATGAAAAAGTGTGTAAACATGCTACAATGCACTAAAAAAGCTTACATGGATAGAAGTGAACCTGGCCATACAGTAAATACAATGGAGAAGGAGAGGTGCAATTCAAGGGGGATGCTTAATTCAAGGGTGTCTGACTCAATTTCATTGCGGGTCACATCAGGAGTATGGTTGCCCTCAAAGGGCCAGTTGTATGTGGAGTGCATTACATACAGAGTGCAGGGTTCAGGGGTGCGCTGTGTACAGAGTGCAGGGTTCAGGGGTGCGCTGTGTACAGAGTGCAGGGTTCAGGGGTGCGCTGTGTACAGAGTGCAGGGTTCAGGGGTGCGCTGTGTACAGGGTTCAGGGGTGCGCTGTGTACAGAGTGCAGGGTTCAGGGGTGTGCTGTGTACAGAGTGCAGGGTTCAGGGGTGCGCTATGCACAGTGTGCAACCTAACCCCGCAAGCTTCCTCTTATCTCTCTCTCCTACCTGGTTCCTTGTGTAGGTGGCTCTGCTTTGCCTTACAGGGAAATTGTTCCCTCTCTGAAATTCTGGAGGTCTGACCCCACCGATCCTCACCGTGAGGACTGCTAAACTGGGTGTGAGAGCCACGTGACAAGGCCTGGCACTCTGGATTCAGTCTGTGGGCTTTGTGTTTACCTATTGGCCTAAAGCACGTACAGTGGGGATCGAAAGTTTGGGCACCCCAGCTAAAAATTTGTATTAATGTGCATAAAGAAGGCAAGGAAAGATGGAAAGATCTCCAAAAGGCATCAAATTACAGATTAGACATTCTTATAATATGTCAACAAAAGTTAGATTTTATTTCCATCATTTACACTTTCAAAATAACAGAAAAAAAAAAAATGGCGTCTGCAAAAGTTTGGGCACCTGCAGAATTTATAGCATGCACTGCCCCCTTTGCCAAGCTGAGACCTGCCAGTGTCATGGATTGTTCTCAATCATCGTCTGGGAAGACCAGGTTATGTCAATCTCAAAGATTTTAAATGCCCAGACTCATTTGACCTTGCCCCAACAATCAGCACCATGGGTTCTTCTAAGCAGTTGTCTAGAAAACTGAAACTGAAAATAGTTGACGCTCACAAAGCTGGAGAAGGCTATAGGAAGATAGCAAAGCGTTTTCAGATGTCAATATCCTCTCTTCGGAATGTAATTAAGAAATGGCAGTCATCAGGAACAGTGGAAGTTAAAGCAAGATCTGGAAGACCAAGAAAAATATCAGACAGAACAACTCGCAGGATTGTGAGAAAAACAATTCAAAACCCACGTTTGACTGCACAATCCCTCAAGAAAGATCTGGCAGACACTGGAGTTGTGGTACACTATTCCACTATAAAGAGATACTTGTACAAATACGGTCTTCATGGAAGAGTCATCAGAAGAAAACCTCTTCTACATCCTCACCACAAAAATCATCGTTTGAACTTTGCAAATGACCATATAGACAAGCCTGATGCATTTTGGAAACAAGTTCTGTGGACCGATGAGGTTAAAATTGAACTTTTTGGCCGGAATGAGCAAAGGTACGTTTGGAGAAGAAGGGGCACAGAATTTAATGAAAAGAACCTCTGTCCAACTGTTAAGCATGGGGTTGGATCAATCATGCTTTGGGGTTGTGTTGCAGCCAGTGGCACAGGGAACATCTCACGAGTAGAAGGAAAAATGGATTCAATAAAATTTCAGCAAATTTTGGATGGTAACTTGATGCCATCTGTGAAAAAGCTGAAGTTAAAGAGAGGATGGCTTCTACAAATGGATAATGATCCTAAACACACCTCGAAATCCACGGGGGATTACATCAAGAGGCGTAAACTGAAGGTTTTGCCATGGCCTT